ATCACAAATGGCCACTTCGACCTGACGACCTTCCCTAGTAAGACCTAAACGCGCAGCAGTCAAAAGATACGCAGTCATCACCGTGTCCTTGGCTAGGTAAGTGGGCACGCTCTCTTCCACGCCGAACTATGGACGGCAAAACAAAACCGTGCCATATTTTCCTGTGCCCAAAGGATTACTGCGAACCACCGACGCATGGACCTTCACCACGGGTCCTCATGCATGTCGAGAAAAATTCACTCACCAAAGGGAAACGTGAAGTGAAGTAGCAAAGAAACTCGTTCGGGATTCTGCCCAATGATTTCTGGACTTCTTCGGGCAATTCTCGATAATGATGTTTCTTGTTACGCATGGCACGTAGGAGATCCCTCACGGAATGTCCTTTGTATGTTCGGAATTTTCTCAGATCTGAAAATAAATAAATCTCACTGGATCACCATGTTATTTGACTAGTAGTGGGGCCCAGTACATGACATCCAAGCCATGCCATTAAACCAGCTAGTCTTCTTAACTTGAAGACTTCACACACACTTTAGGACGTTTGCGCGAACTAAGTCTGAACGCAGCCTGGTAACCAACTGTGCGACCTTGGTTTCCAGACTGCTTCAGAGTTAGGGATCGCGCCGTGGAAGTCCTGGAAGCGAGCCTAAAAAATATACCGTACGTTTGACGACATTATTTTGGTGTAAGGCAGTTCAGACTTCGCGATGACGCACGTTCACAGGTACTGATCGGAGCCGGCCGCTTGTGTTCCGAGAGATTATAGGATAACAGGAGGGTAGGCGATGCCTTGTCACAGTCTGGTGTCGAACGGCGCCGATCGCCAGGTTTGCGAGAGTATAGAAGAATAGGAGTGTACCAGATTGTGTGAAACACCGTCTGCCTCCTGTTATATACTCTCTCAAAATACAGGCGGCCGGCACCGATCGATACCTTCCTGCGAACTGCGTTTCCGTTTATAGCACTGAAGCGCCATTGTGCTGGTAGCGCGTCGACGCGCGTCATCGCGAAGCCTGAACGCTTCCAAAGATGCCACTTCACAGCTGATTTGACGGCAAAGTGCTGTGTCGAGTCAGCGAACTAGAAATGCTGGCTTGAGCAACTACTGTATAGCGTACTTCACGTTTTTTTATGCAATACCACGAATAAATAAACAAATAAACCACTGGAAAAAAAGTTCAAAAAGTGACCGACTTACCTGCTGCAAGAGGTTCACAAATATTATTCCGCCAATTTCCTTCAACTATAACGCGAGCATTTTTCTCCAAACGACGGACAACTGCACTTGTGTCTTCGTCCTTCTCTATTCGATCAGATACATCCTTAATAAGATTCTTCAACTTGAAGCCTCTTGGAATGCAACAGGGCACCGAAACTCCGCGTTATATGTTTATTTACAGCGATTTTCGAAAGTGTAAG